AAAATCGTCTTCGTTAAATTCTTGTTCCAGATGTATTTTGTAGGGATGAAACTTGTGTTTTTTCAATATCTTGTGATTGCTAGTTCTCTTAGTACCAGATATTATCGCCAACTGTCTTCTCCTCAATATCGTCGACAGTATTCTCAAACCTAGTACGTAAAACAATATTTTTCAAGAGAGCAAAAAAACGCATTTTATAAATTTTAAATAAAAAAATCTAATTACTATATTCTGATAATTGTGGACATAAAAAAGCGACACCATAATAAATACGAGGCTTGATAATATAACACTGAAGCATACGAGGATTAGTTTAAGGCACAAAACTCAATTTGCCAAAAAAACCGACTTACGAGGTTTGAGAATCTTGTCGACGACATGTCGGATCCGAGTGTAAATGACCTGGGGTGCCCAAAATTGGTTCCGTTTCGTTTTAAAATGCCACCCTTTATATCATGGCACTTAGCGTGTTAAAAAATTAAACTTTCAAAATAAAGAATGACCCGCAAAAAATGTTTCTAAAGTAGGTAATGACTGACAAATTCGATTCTTGTCCCTGATAATTACTCAAGGCTCAACTGTACGCTCCAACAAGCATAAATGTTTACAAGGCCTGCATTATAAACCTTTTTTGTGAATCACTCCAGATATTTTCCCCATTTTTTTTTATTGATATCAAAATTAAGGAATAAAATTATTTAATTTTAATATACCTTACATACAATAAACATATATCTGAAAAAATTATATTTATGTAAATACTTAGGTGTATTTGTGTTTATTTTGTAATAGAATTTCATGCGTATGTTATTAATTTTGATTTTTATATTCATGTAAATTTTATGTGCCTGTATTTCATGTTCATTATTTTTTACTAGAAATCATTCAAAATGTGATATTTATGTTTGTATGATTTTTGATTTAGTAAAATCCAATCATTATATATGTCTTGATTTTCTTTTATTCCTATTCAAAACTATTAATCACATGGGAGGAACCAGATTACTAGATTACTTCAATTAGTAAAAATATGATATGACCCAAGATATTGGAGATACGCCTTTCTATTAAATTTGTCCACATCTTTTTTCCTATGTTGTTAGGTCTAGTCCATCGAATATCCTGCATTAGATTTTTTAATAAAAAACTTACTTTATCCAATAATTAAAAAAAAATAAAGAATTGAAAGTATCAATATTTATTCATTACAAACTTAAGATTTTGATTTATCGTCTTTTACACGTTTATCATATTAGACGGTCAGATTGTGACAGGTTTAGGGGCTCCATTTTGGCATACAAGCCTCGAAGAGGAAAATTCGATTTTCCTTAACAGAAATTAAAGGTAATTGTTGCCCACATTTTCACGAACACCGTGTCCACTAAATGAGTAACTAATAGAACTAGGCTTCGGAAAAACAAAGGCTTTAAAGTTGTAAGTGGCTAAAAGATTGAAATAAGGGTGCAATTTTGTAAGGAAAAATCGAGATTTTAACCGATTTTTCCACACAAGCCCATCGAATGTATACATTCTACTAAACATCGATGTACTTTTCAACCCTCTTTGAGGCTTATATGCGAAAATGGGGGTACCTAAATCTGCCACTGTCTGACGGTCTATGTGTGGATATTGAACATTCTGGTTCATAAAGTTTCCTTTAAGTTTGGTAACCTGACATTTCGTCGACGGCGTCAAGTGACAGGTTAACTTTTGTAGTGCTTTTTTATAATTCTTTAAAATTTTTGGAACTAATTTGAACTTTGAATTGTTTAGTAAGGGCATTTAGGATAGTGAGGAAATGTGTATTGTGTCAAAATCTTTATAATAAGAATGTTATGCTTTCATTTCATAGGTAAGGTATTGTTAGCGCAGACGGAGACATATATAGGGAATAAGGCTCGATTTATTTAACATTGTAAAGGCATTTATCAAACTGTCCTAAAAGAGTTGTCATATGTCGTTATTTTAATATATAAGAAAATATACAAAACAGTTTTTTGAATACCCTGTATATAGTGTTTCTTTAAATCTATCTTTGATTTAGAAAACCTATATTGTTAATATGTTATTAATATTTGATTATTAAATAATTTTTATAAAATCTAATTAAACCCTCCTGAACCACTAAGTCTACACATGCAACGTACGTTGTCCCTTTCTCCAAGGTGTATTGGTTAAGTAGTATGAAGGGCGAGTCTATCTTAGATAATACGTCTATGGATATGAAATACATGACTTTCTTGTAAAGTACGGCCCATTCAATTCTTTATATCTGTTTTTAAGTTATCTGGATGCAGACGCACAGGCGGACTTAGCGAAAATGGTCGAAACGGATATAGGGGACGCCAAAACGTAAAGATCGGTCGAAAACTCAAGATAAAAAAATCATTTTTTTTTTGAGAATTGGCATCTAATCGTAGTTTTTGTTGCCATAGACTTTTGTAAACCGAATAATTATTTATTACTTTAATTAAAAATTCATTAATTAAGTTTATATATTTTCTCATCAAATGTACTTAATAAAATAGAAATACTTGATGGAAAAAGGATATTTAGGGAAGAAAGTTTTTTATGAAAGTCTGAACGATGAGAATTATGGTGGCTACAAGAAAAAATGAGGTGGTTGATATCAGCAAAAGAAGATTTGTCGCATTGACAGAAAGGTAATAACAATTCTGGAAAGGTGAGACGGAAAACCCCCATGATTTAGTTTCATTCTTGTTAAAGTCGTACAATAATACCTAGACATTTTAAAATTTGTAATGTGGGGAATAGATTTTGGAAGAACAGGGTGAACAAATGTATATGGGTTATTTGAATGAGAAACAAAGTGTTCCCAAAGTTTCTCCCAGCTTGATCTAACATTTCGTTTCATTGCATGAATAATATCCTGCGGAGAATGAATATTACTAATAGTTGGAAGAAGAATGGATTCTTTAGCAGCTAAATCGACTTTTTCATTTCCATCTATCCCTTTATGACTTTTAACCCAGATGAAAACGATCTTGATTTTAGAATTATGAAGAGTAAGGAGAGACAATAATTTCTCTTATAATAGGATTTTTGTTAATATTGCAGGAATAGTTAGAAATTGAAAGTAAAACAGATTTCGAGTCTGAAAGAATAACCGATTTGCTTTCTCCATAGCTTTTTATCCAATTGAGTGCTTGTAAAATTGCAAAAGCCTCCGCTGTATAAACAGATGAATAATTTGGTAAATGAAATTGGGAAATAAAGTTTTCATTTTCCACATAAAAAGCTCATCCTGTACCTTGTTTTCCTTTAGACCCATCGCAAAAAATAGTATTAACTGTATCTAGCGTTCCCAATACCGATTTTATGAATATATTATTAATTTTAGGGGAAGAAGTAAACTCTGGGAATAAGATTGTTGACTTGAACAATAAGGAGAAAAAATTAAACATGGTATATAGGAAGAATACCGTAAGACTCAATTTTATTTAAAAACTGGTTTAAAGATAAACAGGCTTCAGCTAAAGGTGGACTAATTTTAAATTTCCAATATTTGTTGGTTAGGTTTTCAATATTCAGGATAAAGGAAGAATTCGGAATTTTTTCCGAAAACATTTTAAATGTAACTAACTTTTTGCAGTCCAGAAAATGTCTTCGTAAGTGAAGAGGAGACTCGTGCTTCCGCAAGAACCGCTGGAGTAGGGGAAGATTTAAAAGCACCGAGACATATTTTGACTACTTTAACTTGCATACAATCTAATAACTTAAGGCTTGAGTTCGCAGCTGATCGATATAATAATATGCACCCATAGTCGATGATTGATCGTATGTAAGATCTATAATGTGACACATTTAAGAATACTAATGCCTCTTTCACATTTGGATAAAGTATAATCAATATGTTTTTTCCATGTAAGCTTATATTGTCTAAGACAATTCCTAAGTATTTGAAGGAACTTACCATTGGAAGAGATATTGAATTAAACTTAATGACTTCTCCTGTTATCAGCTTGTGACGGGTATAAAACCATCACAGCTGATTTATTTGCAGCCAAAGAGAAACCATGATCAAATAACCAGCTTGTAAGGCAATATATGACATATTTAAGATCTACAACACAATCGTGATAAGACTTACGGGGCTGTATAAATACATACATAATCCGCGTACTGAATACACTTAATTGGTTGATCGAAGATCTCATGCAAGCTTGCCGTGCAAATATTGAAAAGAAAGGGACTCAGAACGGATCCTTGAGGAATACCCTGGTTGACAATTCTAGGGCCATGCAGAAGGTTATAGTGATCTCTGATATATACTTTCCTGTTTCTAAATAACTCAATAATATTGGCAGAGGCGTTTGTATCAAAACCGTAATAGGAGAGTTTTGTTTGTAAGATGTTCAAATCAACTGCGTCATATGCCCCTTTAGAATCTAAAAAAATACAAGCTGTGTATTAATTTTTTGAGAATGAATACTGAATCCGTACTGGGAACTAGGTAACAGAGAGTTATGTTCAAATTACCATTCTAAACGACGTTTAATAATTCTCTCAAAAGTTTTAGCAAAATAAGATAACAGAGAAATTGGGCGGTAAGACGATGGATTACTAGGGTCTCTCATAGGTTTAATAATGAATGTAATTACAACTTCCTTAAAAGATTCAGGAAGAAGTCCTTGTAACCACCATTGATTATAAATTTCAACTAAGACACTTTTTGAATTGTCTGGTAAATTTCTAATTAAAGAATAAGAAAAGCTATCTTTTCCAGTAGCTGTGTTACAAGTGGTTTTAATTGCTAATTATAATTCAGTTAAAGTTATTTTTGAATAAAGGTTATTTTTATTTCCCATTTCCCTATTATTTACCTGCTGAGGAATAAAACTTGGATCAACAAATGGAGGAGCAATATGGTCAAATAATTTTTCTATTATATCTGGAGCCAGAACAGTTTTTTTATTATATTTATTTTTGTTTGAAATACTTTTAATATATCTCCATACTGAAGATATTGGAGTATTTTTGTTTAGATTACTAACAAATTTTTTCCAGCTGTTCTGAGCTTTTTGTTTGAATATTAGATTAATTTTTAACCGACTTCAAAAAAGGAGGAGGTTCTCAATTCGTCGCAATATTTTTTTTTATGTATGTTCAGCGATAATTCTTTCAACACGGTGTCCGATTTCAATGATTCTTTTTTTGTTGGTAAGGGGTACCTCAGGGGTGGTCCCATATAAATTTGGTTAAGATGTGGTGATGGCATCTGCACGTTTTTGAAGTCGGTTTTTTTTAATTTTTAATACTTGTGGCCTGCAGATTTTTATAAAAAATGAAATTGTCAAAATTCGATGTGTGACTATAGTTGCATGAAGCTACCTTTCTACTCTCAACTAAATCGGAACCCTCAAAGTCGCATGCTGGAAGGAACCTTGAAGGAGTAAAAGGATTGTTTCTGGGCATAGATAAATCTGCAGCTACCGTGACAGCTTCAATGAAATTTGGGAATGAAGTGGATTCAGATACTTTATTTACTGGATAGGTACAGGAAAGTATTTTTATACCATGCAGGAAAGTAAAAATCAATATTTTGTAACTATAGTTACAGAATCAACAAATGTGTCAAAAAATAAAATATGGCAAAACCTACAACTATCAAAGAAGCTATAAAAAGATGGGAAGAAAAAAATTCTGGTAAAAAAATTATTGATGCAGAAGAAATTGGATTTCAATTTCAATGGCCACCCATTGAAAAAATGGACAATACTCTCTCTTCGCTAATAAATACTAAAAAACTCAGCCTTTCAACAAATATGATTGAAAAGATTACAGGTGATTGAAATTAAATTAGATAAAATCAATTTAAAAATATTGGGCATTCTTTTTTATCACACATCACAAAAAAATAATTATTAATGTATATTTTGGTTTTCAATATCAAATGCAAAAAATAATCTACTGTTTTTTTGCCTATTGACACATTTATAGGTATAAGTGGTATGAAAAACTTAAAAATTCTCTCTTTGGCCAGAAACTACATCAAGACGTTTTCTGGATTGGAAGGAGTAGCAGATACATTGGAGCAATTGTGGATATCATACAATATTATTGAAAAAACCAAAGGAGTAGGCGCACTGAAGAAACTTAAAGTTTTGTATATTGGAAATAATGTTATAAAAGATTGGGGTAAGTCTTAGGGTAATGAATAAAGTCTGAGGTTATTTTTGTTAAAATTTTGTAATTTCTATAATGTTTAGTGTCTTTTACTGACAAGAGTATATATGGGTTGCAAATGGTCCAATTTAAGAAAAGTTCTGGACTATGTGTGTCAAATAATGATAGGCAAGCTCAAATGAGTCAAAAAAAGTTTTGTTGGAATAAAAAATTAAGTTTGCATCAACAGTTAAAAAAATATTTTGTGCCAGAACAAAAATCTTCCACCCAATCTTTTTATACCATTTTTGAACATGAATACAACAACGTAACCAAAAAAGAATTATTTTTTAACGATTTGATTTCTATTGTTTGAAATGATATACAAGAATTTAGATAATGGAGAGCCATTTTGAAAAATTCTGAAAAATGAACACTTAGGAAACACTCTGTCCCTTGGATTGCCTTGAATTAAAAATTATAATTACACACATTTTTAGGAGAATTCAATAAATTTCAAGAATTGACTTCATTGGAAGATTTGTTATTTGTGGGAAATCCACTTTCTGAAAATACAGATGAAACCGTTTTTCGAACAGAAGTAGCTAAACGATTGCCAAATTTAAGAAAACTGGATGGTGAACCTATACTTAGAGAAGAAGAATAGATTTTAATGTAAAATTTCAAAATTTTATTTAATAAAATTAGATTAATTCAAAATAGAAGTTTTAATAAGAGAAAACAATGTTTCCTTTAGTAAAACCATAAATACGATTTCAAGTTTTTCTTTTCAATATCATGTACAATCAAAAAATATAAAAATAATTTTCTCACTAATACTGATCACCATCATTCCTGTCAATGCCAACCATTTGCATCTGCCTACATAGTATAGTTAAGCCCTACCTATTTTTTTATGTTAAAGATGTATCTTCTAAACTCCACACCATTTTTGCAGATTTAATATACCTCGTAATATACTCATTGAAAACATGAACTCAGATTAGTTTTTGGTGATCAAATTGATATAAAATAAAACAAAGATTTAATCAAAAGAAAACACTTTGTACCTTAGTAATAAACTGCCAGCTTCAGTATTTTACAAAAAAATTTAAAGCACATTTTATACTCTTAAAATTATTTAGATTTTATTTTAGTCACAATAATAATGGTTAGATGCCTACAACTTGAAAAAATGCAAAGGTAGCCAATTGATTTAGGAACTATATTAAGCTTATTTTATACATTTAAACTAGACAGAAGAACTCAATTTTTTTATGATTTAATTATTTCTTTAGCCTCTTCATTAATTGTAATTTCCATTCCTCTTCTGGGATGTTTGTAGCCCAATCTGGAATTGCACTTTCAGGTAGGGTTATATTCAACATTGCTTGTTTAACTTCAAGTACTCTTTGATTATCCATTTTAATATCACAGACTTCGGGGGCAGGTCCATCCCATACCTCTTTTACAATTGATGATTCCATAGGAGTTATGGGAGGTACAGAAATACCTTGGGATTCTGAATTTATAGTGGTGTTTGTGGCACTACCTTCTGTAACAAAAACAAGAGAGGGCCATTAAAAAGTTACCACCCTAATTTTAGGTTGTTTTAAGAAATTAAAAAAAAATCTGTGAGAGGACATTTTTTTTTAAGGGGAATATTATATTACAACTCGAATATTATCCCTCTTCTCTCCAATGGATAACTTGAGTGTCACATCTTTGAAAAGATAATACATTTTGCTAGATAGTTCAATGTTCAATTTATGATTAATAAAAAACTGACTTCTCAGCAATTTTTTGTAGGTAGGTAATTTATTAAAAAATGTCTAATAATGGGGTGGACTTTTTAGTAGTCACTCTGTATTTATTTCTACCTAATTATTAGTTTTATTGGAAAAATACTCATTCCACATTATTTACTCTACCTCAATTAGCACTCAATTTAGCAAGAGGCAAGGATAACTTATAGAAGGAAACACTATTGTGCACAAATTGAAAAGGACTGGGAAAATAAAAGCAGTGAACAACATTGTAACAAAAAAACAGAAAAAAAATACTGCAGTAATCCTTCTGTTTACATCATTGCATGTGGTGCATGCTTTGGCATACTTGCATCATTAATTTTATCTTTGAATTTTGAGGGCAAGAACAATTTGTATTTCACAAAAAAGGACGTCAAAATAGTCTAAAATTATAAAATATTTATGTTTATTTGCAAACAATTTTCTTGTCCTTGAAATTATACTTAAGTTATTCCAGTGAACACAAGGCCTGCATATGAACAATCTACGACGACATAAACGCAGGTTTACTAAATACTGGAATATGGGTAGATACAAGATTAAATAATAATATAAATTGTGTATTGTATAGTTCGGTAATGAGTTGCCCGAAAAAGAATTAAGATGTAAAAAATATCTGTAATAAATAATAATAATTATTGATTACAATACCATCATCATCACTATCTGAATTCGTATTCGTCTCTTCAACAGGCGATGCAGGTAATAATTGATACTGTGCAAATTCTATTTGAAAGTCCTCCGTTTCTACCTCTTGATCAGAATCATCTTGTGAAATACCAAAAACAGTTTCACTAGTAATTCTGAGATCTTCTGTAGGATTATCTGGATCTGGTAGACCCATATCTGTTTTTACCATTTCTAACTATGGTTTAAAATTGTTTTTAAATGTAAACTAATTTACATATTTATTTATTAGATTGATTACAAAACAAACATAAACCTTTCTGTCACTGTCAACAGTGTTGTTCCTAGGGATTTTTGAATTGTACAACTTTCAGTGTCAAAATTGTACACTTTTACTTTCGATTGTACAACCACTAATTAATCTTCTTCTTTTTTATTGACAGACTATGGCCTACTACTTTCCCATGCTTAAAATTCTTCTTTTTTCCAGTTTAAAATATATTTTTGATGTAAAACGGTGTACTGATTGGTCGCGAATGGCGCCAAATTTAAACTTTTATTTTTTTATTAATTTTAATTATTTAACAAATCGTAGACTTTTTGAGCCAAGAAAACCTTTTATATACCCGATTTTACATAAATATTTAGCAATTTCAAATTGTACAACATTTCTGTCTTTTTTCAAAAGTGCGTACAACAGTACAACCGCATGACTGATTGTACAACTTTTTGTACAATTGTACAACCAGGAACAACACTGACTGTCAAAAATAATTTTCTTCTGTTTTTAAATTATCTTGGCCTCGTGCTAAATGGAAAAATAATAATTTCATTTTGTATAACGGGTGTTAGTCATAGACATTAGTAGGCTGTGTTGCCGTTGTTATTAAAATTGTAACAAAAACTGTATTTTTATTAATGTGGAACTCAAAAATATAATTTCAAATGTCGAAATTTCATGGAAAATGGTAACCCGGTAATAGTGGTACGAAAATATTCGAATAATTTAGGTATGTTGAACTATGATCGAATGTTGAACTTGACGTATTGATTCAAAATTCTCTTACAAATAAACTCACAACGTTGTAGTGTATATTTTGCCCTCTTACACAGAAATTTGTATTTTTCTTCATTCATGTACAATTGTATTTATTCGTATCGGGTACTTGGGTACTTAAGTGATAGTCTGATGCAGTTTTGACATTTCATAAATCGCCCTATAGTGGTGAGTATAGATGAAGAGACTTTCAGTAGGTATTTTCGTATTCACCTCTGGTACATCTTTTATATTTTTAGCCGTTTCTCAGATCAGTCATGGATCAGTCGCTTGTATAAAAATTTGTAAATCCATATTCCAAAACTATATTAAACTAACTTTACGGGTAAATCGGGAAATGTTTAAATATGAATAACTTTTTTCTTTTCCGAGCCAGCCTACATATTTAATGTAGTTGACAACGTCGAAAGTAGTGATGCCGCGAGACAAGAGAGTGGCCTCATCTTGTCAGAGAGTGGCCTCTCTTGTCTCGTCTCGTAGGGCGAGAGAAAACTGTTCTCTCGTCTCGACGAAAAGGGGCTTTCTCTCGCTCAAGAGAGCCTTTCTCTCGTCTTGTCTCGTGATAAAACTATCAATTTTAAATTTGAAAAAGACGAAACATGAAAAAACGGTAAAATTTATAAATTTATAAAAACAAAGAATTTTTCAAGTAATTTGCGCATTAGTACCCAAATTTGGCAATAAGAAACACTTATGTCTCTCTGTTTGTCCGTCTGTCACAGTCATTTTACAATTGAAATTTGAAGTAATAAGAAGGGAATTTTTTAATAAGCTTTTTTTGCCAAGAAGTTATGAAAAATTTAACACGTCAAGTGGTTTTTAAATCACCTTTGATAGGTATTATTTATTTATTTTAGTAAATACAAGAAGCGTTTCCTTAGTAATAAACAATAATTGTCAATACGAGAGTTATATCAAGAATGTAACTTATTAATAAAGGCCCAGAACATGTCTGTATAAGAACAAAGTACCAGCTACAAAAAAACACCATTTATGCAGTGATAAATCCCTCTAACAGTAAAAAATTTAATTTATAAAAGATACTGACATTTACTCTGTACTAGCCAAAATGTTAATTATCCATTGTAAACTATTGTAAAAAACAACATTTATAAGGTATTATACCTCCGGTAATGATCCTTTGAGGTTGAAACGGTAAATAAAAAAAAGAATTTAATTTAACCTATGAATTTATATTTATTGTAATTTCTGTAAAACCATAAAAACCTAAATCTGTTTACATGAACGTAAAAATATAGAAAAAACTTTCAAATGAGGTATCACATGACCCTACTTTCCATTTGAAAATTTAAAGCTATTATTTCCCTCTATCTTACGTGTCTAAAGTAAAGTGCCTCCCGTTATAACAAAAATATAATAACTCCTGAGTTTTACTTCGTTTTTGTTTTGTCATTATCTTTTTTCATTTAGAAGTTAAAATAGTGGAGGGTGCAATTTTTGTCCTCACTGTATATAATACATTCGTTTGTATTACCTTTTCTTTGACAGTTTTTCGAAAAAACGCTTAAAAACTTATCTTGAAAAATAACCTCAGAAAAGCAGAATGGATTAAATATAAGAAATGATTGTATAAATATTTCTGATTTTTCAACAAACTACTAATCAGCATCCTTTATGGAAACATGTTATCTGAATGCATACACTTTCCTAGGTCGTCTGTGTATTTAATTTTTTCGTTATTACGTAACAACGTAAGAAGTGAACTATATAGTGAAAAATGTAATACCTTTTGTTTTCGGATCTATAACCGATACAGGGGCATGCGGTCCATGGAAGCGGGGGAAGCACCGCTTCCCTACACTTTGAGATTTAAAAATAAATATTTTTCAGTTTACAATGCATAGAAATTAATATTAAATTAGGTACTATATTTTCTCTGAAACATTACGTAAACTTCGTAAATGTACTAACAATTCATTGGTGTGATGTGTAAACGCACGCACCACCCATGAGAAAATTAATTGTGTAAACACACACACACACCATATACTTCGAGTCCGTCGGCGGAAGCGCGTCTTGAAAAAGCCGACTCATCTTCCAATTGTTTTCGCTTTGTGTTATTGACCCTGCTTTGCCACGACAATAGTCAGTCTGTTTGTGCACGTGAAATACGGTCGAGAGGCAGCGATTTTTACGTCGCCTTACACATATTGCAATTTGCACCACGAATCGACGTGTGAGGAAAATCGTAGACTTCAGATAGATTTCGCAGCTGTTTTTTTCTTTTTGTAAAATGGAGGAACTATGCACTGTGTCTGTGAACAATAATAATGTGGTAAATTGTGTCTGTATTGTGTGCTCTTTATTGAAAAAAGTATTTTCAAATAGAAATTTTGAAGAGAAAACAGACATTATTAATTCTAGTAGACTAAAGGATCCTATCAATTTAGAGACGAAAGTAGAAAAGTCAGCAAAGAAATTTACCAGGCATTTTCACGTAGGGTTTTATTAAAAGTATGAATGGTTAACCGGCTGCAAAACTTTGAAAAAATTTTGCTGGCCTTGCCTACTTTTTAATATAGCCGAAAAAACACATTGGAACTCAGTCGCTATTACAGACTTGAATAATTTTCACAAAAGTGTAAAACGACATGTAAATAGCAAATCTCATATAAGTGCTACAATTAAAGAAAAAACATTCGGGACCTATCGCATTGGACAATCATTTAAAAATAAGCAACATAATTTACAATAAAAGGGTAAAAAAAATAGGTACGTCTTACAATGATTAATAGATGTAACTTGTTTCCTGGGAGAGGATAAACTAAGTTTTAGGGGTCACAATGAATCAAGTGGATCCGCCAATCGAGGAAATTACATGGACCTTCTAAGTTTTTTAGCAAAATACGATGATACCCTAAAAAATCATTTTTTTGATTCGACAACTTTCCGAGGTACCTCAAACAGAATCCAAAATGATTTAATTAAATGCACTGCCGACGTTGTGATGGATCACATTAAAAGTGAAATTAAAAAAGCACCTTTCGTATCAATTGCACTTGATGAAACCACAGATATAGCAAACTTAAGTCCATTGTTGTGCGATATGTATTGGATGGCATTCCTCAATAGCGATTCTTTAGGATTTTTGGACGTCACTATCGAACGAACTGCAGATGCATTGTTTAAAATTGTTTGTGACATTATTTCAAGTTTAGAATGTGGTTCTAAGCTTGTTGCCCAGAGCTACGATGGTGCTGACGTAATGGCTGGCCATTTAGGAGGCCTTCAAGCTAAAGTGAAAGAAGTTAAACATGCAATTTTTGTTCACGGTATATCACATAGACTTAATTTGGTTTTATCGCGAAGCATGGATAATATTAAAGATTGAAAAGTTTTCTTTTCGACGCTTAGTGGTTTGGCTTCCTTCTATTCAAAGTCATCGAAAAGAACTCGTGCCTTGAACATTCACGTTCAAAAAAGGTTTCCAAAAGTTGCTCCGACGCGATGGAACTACAATGGAGGTTTAGTGCAAACAGTGTTTCAATACCATGATTCTTTGATACACTTTTTTCAAGACGTTTGGGATAATAAAGAAACATGGGATGCTGAAATTGTTACTGCCGCTAAAGGGTATTTGCATTGGCTCAAACAAAACTTTCCCTTTTACTGACATTTTATTCGATATTTTACAGACAAAGTAATATGACATTGGCTGTTGCATTAAACAAATTGATGATTTTAAAAATAAAATGAATAAAAAACGAGATCAGTTTGAACACTTTTGGAATAAGACTCAAAACATTGGCTTGGAACCTGAAAGAAAGAGAATTAGAATTGATATGTCGGCGACGGAGAGACATCCTATCGTCAATTATACGCCGAAATTTTTGATAATATTTTACAACAAATGAAGTCTCGATTTCAAAACTTTAACGAATTAAAATTTGTTGAATTGTGCAATTTTAATATTAGTAACTACGATTCATCAAAATTTCCATCGGAAGCTTTTATTTCACTAAAATTAAATTATGGAAATTTTTTCGATATTCCAGCATTAAATTCCAAGTTAAGTGTTGTTTATGAAACAATTGAAATTAGTGATAAAAAGACGCCCATCAATGTGTTAAATTTTCTTATAACAACTGGTTTAAATAAGTCCCTTTGCGAAGTCGTCAAGTTCTGTGAATTAGTACTAACCATCCCAGCCACAAGTGCGTCAGTTGAGCGAAGTCTTTCAGTTTTAAAGCGCATTAAAAGTTTTATACGAAATACAACAAGTGAAGACAGACTC